GAGGTTGGCGAGGAAGGAGGTGCCGGCAGCCATAGCTGACCAGAGGGTTGACCGGGCGTTGACCAGAGGGTTGACCAGAGGGTTGACCGGGCGTTGACCAGAGCGTTGACCAAGGCGTTGACCGGAGCTGCTGACTACAACTTTGACCAAGCTGGAGTTGGTATAATCTCGCCAAGCCCTTAGCCTATCCCCTCTTCCTATGGATGTGCACTCACCCTATGGTACTTGCTGAGTCTGAGTCTGTCTGTCTCTTCTTTTTGCATTGAGTCTCTTCTGTCTAGGTGATAGGACTCCGTGTATGAAGGATAGGACCTTGTTGACCAAACCCCTACCGGGCGGAGCAGGGCTAAAGACTGTGTCTGACGACGCGACTGTCCCGGAGGACACGAACCCTCCCAAGGACCGGTACTGACCGACGGGCTGCTCGGTGTGGTAGGCCCGAAATCCGAGATGTGGGCTGCACAACAGGCCGTCTACGTCTTGAGAGAACCTGCTGATCGCGTCGTCCTGTCTGCGACGTTAAAGAATTCTTGAGGAGTTACGGGGGATCTCCTTAAATGCCTCCTGATCAACAACAGGTTCTGTAGTGACGGCGGTAGTTTAGAGTCTAGGCTAGTGCCCCTAGTTGACAGGGTCTGAATCGGAGTGAAAGCCAGGTGGGTTTGACCGCAGGTGCTGGGCATCTGGGTCCGGATTGCAAGGACTGTGGTTGCGAAAGCTTCCGTCGGCCGTGGTAATCTGGCTGGAACGAAGGGTAGGATTATGTGGTCCATAGAGAGTCAGTACGAAGTTAGGTTAGTCTGGGGGGACGTCTAAGTGTTGAGGAGTGGAACCGTTACTTGGTTGTGCACCTATCACCATGGTTGACACGCGTACTGGAAAGAGTACCTCCCCTTATACAGCAGAAGAGGAGGCAAAGGCCGCCGCTATCCTAAAAGAGAGAAGAGAGAAGAAGGAGGCCAAGAAGAAGGCCTTGATAGAGGACCAGGCGGGGAAGTTGAAGAAGATTGAAAAGGAGATGGCCAGAGAGAAGGAGAGATTAAAGAAAGAAGAAGAAGAGAAATTAAAGGCGGTGGAAGAGGAGGATGAACAGGAGGACCCGCCGCTGGAGAGGAGGAGAAGGGAGCAAAGAGGGGAATCCAGTGGGACAAAAGATGAGCAGTTGGAGAAGAAGATTACAGAGTGGGTTGCAAATTTATCCCTGGGAGAAGAAGAGGAGGCACTAATGTATGTGCCCAGGGAAGAACAGGAGGCGGCCATGAAAGAGTGGGAGGCAGAAGAAGACCCACTCAAGCGTCAGGCCATAGAGGATGATAAGAGGATAGAATGGAAGTTCCGGCTGACGCGGGAGAGGAAGGCGAGATTGGAAGCGGTGAGTCAAGCGGCGAAGGAATTGGAGGAGGTAAAGAAACAGAGAGACCAGATGGTGACGCAGGTGGACTTGTTGGGGAAAATGGAGATCATGGCGAGGAATATAGAGCGCCTGACACAGGCTCAGGAAGAGCATTATCAGTTCACTAGAAGTCATGACATTGCACTGCGCTCAATACGGTTGGGGTTCAGGGAGTTTGCACGAGAGTTAGTGCCCGTGGTGGGCTTAGAGGTGAAGGCCTGTCTGGAGAACACAGAGCGCTATTGCACGGGTGCCATAGAGGGCGCCAAACTGGCCGCTCCCAAGGAGGAGGAAGTACGCCCTTGTAGGGAGCCTGTCAAAGTCAAATTCCCCGATTCCTACAGTGGGAAGAAGGAAGAAAACTTTGACAATTGGGAGGCTAACATTAAGACCTATGTGCACCTACAAAAGGTCTCCCCAGATGAGCATGTTCTGGTCGCCATTCACGCGCTAAAAGAGGAAGCCGCCAGTTTTGCCCGTTCCCTAGTCCGCGCTGCAAATTGCAACGATGATGTAGTTGCTTAGTCCGTGTTCACTCCCCTCGCTGATTTCCTTAAGTTATTGCACTAACGATTCACAGATGTTTCACGCAATGTCAAAGCCTCCGATAGATTGCAGACTATCCACTCTCGTCAGTGGAAGAGTGTCAGGGCACTCAAGGGAGTAATGGACGAGCTAGTGGCTGTGCCTGACCATGGGGTCACAGAGACCCAACTGGTCAACCTTTTCTACCGGGCCATGCCCGAATCGTTACGCGGGCACTTCTTTGAGAAGAGCCAGCAGCCTACCATGACCTATGATGCATTGAGCAGGGAAATGGTAGCTTTTGAAGTGCGGTCCATGCCAGTTTCCACTTTCTGGCACAAGGACCTTGACAAAGGGAAAAAGTGGAAGGGTCGCACTATCTCTGGGCAGATCAAGACCAAGGATTGTCTGCTCCTTACATTAGATGAGGGTAGTGTGGAGGAAGTCCCCTACGAGCAGATTGAGTGGGGGCTGGAGGAGGAGGACAGTAGTGATAGTCAGGGGAGGACTTACGCTGCTGTCGCGGCCGGAGGGAGGTCGCAAGGTAGAGGAGGAGGCCAAGGCCAAGGGGGCCGGGCCTCAGGTGGCCGTCCCCAGGGCGATCAGGGGGTTGGCGGTAGAGGAGGAAACCGCCAAGCGGGAAGAAGGGGTCGAGGTCCCCCGCAAAACCGTTCTGGCAACTGGTCACCTAATAGGGGTAGTAGGTCACCCTATAGGAGAAGTGGTTGGCACCAGGGCTGCCACAGGGCCGGCCTTGGGAAGACTTGGGTCTGGACCAACGCGTATGGCAGCAACGCGTGGATGAGGGGCAATACGTATTTTGCGGTGACCCTGGCCACATCATTCAATTTTGTCCAAAGTATAGGGAGGCCCGATGGGCTGCCCAATAGGCAAAAGGCAGCCGCTGGTAGGGGTCGCAACTGCCCTTACCATAAGGCCATGTGGGGAAATGAGCGCGAGCCGGCAAGAAACTCCCACACCACATGAGCCTATGGCAGAGGTTGCAGGTCGGTGCCTAAACAGTTGTCCAGAGACTGCTTGTGTTAGAGTCTCTTTAGGCACCTCCTTCACAGGCGTGGCTGATGAGATGAAGGAGAGGATGCCTGCCTGGGCCAAGATGAAGAAGGAGAGTTTTTGGTAGATGTGGAAGTTTTTAGAAGTAGAGTAGGAGCCCTTATAGATTCAGGGGCTACCCGCAGTTATATTAGCCGTAGAGCGCTGAAGAAGTTGAGGCTAGGGTTGAGAGTCCAAAAGTTGGAAGACCCCATAGTTAGTGTCCTCGCGGACAACCGCACTATGCGAGTTGAGGACTACGTAGAGAGAGACCTGCAGCAAAAGGTTAGAGACGTGTATCCGCAGGACCCTATCTATAGCGACCTCCTCAAGAAAGCCAAGGAGGCCCCCGAGACCAAGCCAGATTACCGCACTACTGATGGATTACTATTTGAGAAGACTAACGTAGTGGACAGACTGTGCGTCCCCAACAGTGAAGAGATCCGTAGTTTGATCCTAGGGGAATGTCACGATACAGAGGGACACTTTGGTTGGCAAAAGACTCTAGCCAACCTAATGCACGCGTGCACCTGGCCAGGAATGAAGAATGATTGCATAGAGTATGTTCGCAGTTGCAAAGTTTGCCAAAGGAATAAGACTACTACGCGTGCCCCGCTAGTTCTTCTCAGACCCTTGCCTATTCCGGACCAGCCAGGAGATTCAGTATCCATTGACTTTATGGATGCTAGTGTCAAGAGTAGGCACGACAAGAGCCAAGTCATGGTCGTAGTTGATAGATCAAATATGTTGTTTTTATTCCCATTGTCCATAGTTAGTGATAGAGACACCCGGTTCATTAGTCAGAACTGGCAGGAGTTGATGAGAGTCTATGGCTCCAAGTTGTTAATGTCATCTGGCCATCATCCAAAGACCAACGGTTAGACTGAACAAATGAATAAGATCCTGCAGCAAGTTCTGCGTATGTACATTAGACCTGATCAAGTCAACTGGGATGAGATGCTTCCAAAGGTAGCCAGTGCCTACAACAACAGTGTGCACTTGTCTACCTGTCGCACTCCCAACGAGTTACATAAGTCTTTCAGACCGCGTAGACCATTTGAAGGACTTAACCGGGATCAGATACAGAGGCTACCGCCTGGTACTAGGGAGTTTGCGCTACGACACGAGAAAGAGTTAGCTACCGTGACAGAGAACCTCAGGAAGGCCCAGCACCGAATGATAGAGCAAGCTAATAAGCACTGTCGCTCATCACAGTTTCAAGTAGGCGACTTAGTCTGGGTCAAGTCTAAAGAGTTTGCTCCTGAGGAGAACATCTCGCAAAAGTTACTGCCCGCGTATAGAGGACCGTGGCCAGTTCTAGAAGTCAAGGGCGGAGAGGATGGGCCGTCCTACATAGTAGAGATCCCAGCGCACCTCCACACCTACCTGATCTTCCATGCATCCAAGTTGTTGCCCTGCACAGTGACTGATCAGTTCCCATCGAGGAGGTCTATGATCCCTCCGGATATGGATGGGAGGTACGACATTGACGGCATCGTAGGTTAAGATGTGTTCAGAACAGGAGGTAGAGGTCATCCACAGAAACAATATAAGGTCCGATTTGCCTATCAGGAGCCAGAGGACGACCGCTGGTTTACGAGAACCGAACTTCTAGAGACAACTCCCGGCATAGAACCTATGAGAGAGATAAGAAAGGGAAAGGTCCTGCCTTGGACTGAATTATTCTCGGAGGACCTCAAATTTAGGCCTGCGGGAGTGAAACGGTTTTCACCTGTCAGCAGTAGCGAGTGCAGATCCCAGGGCTCGATCCCTAGTTCTCACCTTACCTGTGTACAGTATCGGTGTTGACCCCGAGTGTTTGAACCCGTGACCGGTGTTTTGATAGTTGTTGTTGTCTGTCGTAGGTCGGTGTAGGGGTAGGGGTTCGATCTGTAGACCTGTCGGATAGGAGTCCTAGTGAGTTCTAGAAGTCGTAGCTGTAGCCTGTCCGAAGGGTCAAGGTCGTAGCTGCTACAGTACCGAAAGGCCAAGTCTACAGACTTCCGGAAGTGGCCTTTCGGAGTAGGTCCACGTTTAGACAGAGGCAAGTGGGCAAGTGGTGGAGCCAACCTCAGTGCGTTGGCAGTGCGACTGCAGCGAGGTTGCGGTCCAACCCCATGCAGTCAGCATTACGGTCCAGTCAGTCCCAGTCCAGTCCAGCAAGTACCATATGGGACTGTGTGCATAATGGGCCAAGGGAAAAGGGCCAGACCAGCGAACTACAGAAGTATAAATCAGGAGGCAGCGCCCAGCCATTCATTCATTCCTGCATGAGCCATGCGGAAGCGCTGCCATAGCGACTTGTGCGAGGTGGTCTGCAGTGAGCCCGAGGACGAAGTGGGCAAGAAGGAAGTTAGCCATAGCGATAGAGTAGCAGCAGCCATAGCCGCCATAGCTGTAGGTGTGTGCGGGTGTGTGTGAGTGTGCAGAGTGATGCGTGTGRGGTATCCAGGGTGATCCTAGTGAGTGTGTGMGAACARCAGTGTTGAGTGAGTGACGACAGAGAGTTGTACAGGCGATGAGCCGCCATAGCCAGTGGAAGTGAACTTGTATCTGAACTAAGTTCTTGGTACTATATCTCTGAGTTCTGAGTGGGTGCCTGGCGCCAGTTTGCTGCGCAACCTGTTTGCATACGTGTGAAGTGTGAATGAATGCGAGTCTGATTGCACCAGGGGCAACTGGCAGTGGCGGCTTGGCTCCCGCATGGGTCCACAACCTGAACACTCGGTTGCCTTAGTCCGCAGTAGGATGGCAGAGAAGTGGAGTTGGGATGTGGGTGGAGACTTCCTTAAGAGGGGGGGGGGGCTTGCTGAGGCAGTGTTATGCCTCTAGATTGCCTCGGGGTTTGGGTAATGGATAAAGTAGTTAGATTAAGTTAGGTTAGGCTGTGAGAATAGGTACAGCTTTGGTGGGTTTTTTGAACTTTTTCCTATCTCTACCTTTAGCGCTTCCTTCTCTCTTTCTATCTTCCTCCCTGCCTTTTCTTTATAGCTCTGTTTCTTTGCTCTTAGGTTTTCTTGGGTTGGTTTTCCTCTGCTCCTTTCAGGACAGAGATTATCATTTCCTTTCTTTTGTTTTCTTTTTGTTTTCAACCCATTACTTTTCCTTTCCGGGATTTTGGGAGGACCCGGCCTCAACAACATTTCATGAGTAATAAAGCTACTGCTTTAAAAAAAAAAAAAAAAAGGTTTAACCAGAGAAAGGGCAAGAAAGGAGGAGGGGCTGTGACAGACTGTTTTGTGGGATCTTCACCAAACCCATTAGAAGCCGAACCCTTGAAACTTTTCAGAGTCCCATAAGAGATGACAGCATGCATAAGTGAGAACCCACCTCAACCCCAGTTACAGGGGGGTACCAACAGCCACTGTCCCACAGCTCGTACAGTGTGGTTGAGATTCAAAGTAGGTTATCAAAGCACGCACAGCGGACAAAAGACCCCACAGACTGCAGGTTCACACGAAATCACACCCCATCGAAAGTGAGCAGGACCCAGAAAGCCAAAATTTTTTTTTTTGGCACAGCCAGAAAAAAAAATCGCGACACACCCGTGGGATTGGAGGAGTGACACGGCCGCCTGGTGATGGGCCCGACGGCTGCCGGTATAAGCCTGTTATGACCCTGGCCAATTTCGAGATACACATCCATCAGAAGGTACAATGCCATCCAATTGCAGAAAGAAATGAATGAACTTGGGAGGAGAGAGAGAGGATTAGAAGAAGAAGAAGAAGTAAGAAAGAAGAAGAAGAAGATGTACACCCGCAAAGACAATGACAAGGCTCTTCTTCTTCGCCCACCAACAATCTCCTCCTCCTTATCTCCCCCTCCTCTTATTCATACAAGAAATAATAATACAATGTTGAATGACTGGTCCAGAATCAATGTCCGAGTCCCTCTTCTACTGCAGGTATCACTCAAGGTCCACCATAGCCATGGCCGCCTCTCCCACTCTTCCTCTCATAGGCCGAGGCTATGGCGTACTACTAGGCCTTGC